TAGTCATCCTATAATCAACCAGGACTCCAAGGTCCTTCTCCTCCTCCGTTACTTCCAACTGATGTGTCCCCAGCTTATAACTAAAATTCTTGTTGTTAATCCCTAAATGCATAACCTTACACTTCTCACTATTAAATATCATCCTATTGCTATCACTCCAATTTACAAGATTATCCTGTATGATATCCCGATCCTTTTCTGAATTGGCAATAGCTCCCAACTTTGTGTCATCTGCAAATTTTATCAGGTTCCTTAGGTTTGGAAGAATTGTAGTGCTTAGTGATATTTTAAACTGAACACATTGAGCCTTCAAGAGAAGAAATTATCCATCTTTTACTGAAGAGAAAGGTATTTATTGTGGAAGTCCTACATGTGTGGCCTAATGTAGTGTACACTGTAAAACGTTGTCTGATGTAAAGTTTTAGGATTTGAAACAACTGTTTCTTACCTATGTTTTTTCATGTTTTTTCCTCGTGTTGTTCTCCCATATGAGTAACATCTCCAAAATATGTACAAAATATTTGTCTTAGGAATGCTTATTTTAAAATATATTTGTATATGTATACAGTTTCCCTGTTAACATAGGGACAAATTTTGAGTTTGTGTGTGTGCCCTTGAGTTAAGTTTTGTAACACATTTTCCTCCTTTCTTTGTTGAAGCACTCTCCTTCCTGTATTCCAGCTAACAAAGGCAGACGTGTAAGATGCTGTCATACTTTGTGTGGCCCTTTATTTTTGCCTGTGGTGTACATGCCTTTGTTTAATGTAGACTGTCCTATGTTGACTATTTATGGCTTGTGTATCTATCTTATGCATGCTTTGTGCTGCTATTGCTGCTGCTGCTGCTGCCGCTGCTGTGCTCTTTGTTGTTTTAAAGCTGTGAGTTCAAAGCTTTAGGAATGCTGGTAATATTTCTGTGACCAGAATGCCATAGTAACTAAAGACGGTGCTTTGGGTTTTATTCTTTTTTTTTTTACATAAAAGGGAAAGTCATTAAAGCTCATTGTGAAAATGGCTTAGATAGCAGCACACTGCTTAGAGAGCAAGGATAAGCAGAACTCAAAGCAGAGTATCTTTGCTTCCATTCTATTCTGAAAGTGCTTGCGAGATATTTTACAGGAATTTCCCATAAAAAGCAGACGTTTGGCACTCAAGAAGCATATTTAGGAACTGTCGTGATCCAGATATGTTTTCTTTAAAAAGGTAGAATTTTAAGCGGGTAATTCAAGTACTTTGTAGTAGCCAATAGAAGCAGAAACTCGTGTGTGTGATAATATATGATGTAAATATCTTCAGCCTTAGAGGCATTGATGGATTGATAAACGTTTCTGAAAATCTATATAAATAATGTGATTATATCCATCAAAGTGTTGTCAGAATGCTTGAAGTAGGTACATTACCCAACGAGGAGTAATATGTCTATCCTGGATGCTCAACAGTTGGTGATTATATAAGGCATAGAGTATTGGAAACCGCACCTATATTAATATTAAATTATTCAGCTAATTATTTTTCTCTCTAATAATAATAATAATATGTTCACTGCAGTTCAAAACACAGATTATTATATTTTTCCCAACCCAGTTTACAGTGTACAATATCCAGTATTTAAACATTATGGCTCTGATTCAGAAGTCCCATCTCAATTCAGCATGTACTTTAAGTGGATGGACTTTAGTAATATATTTAAATACTTTGCAGAATTGGGCTTAGTCCTACAACCGTTAAACGTGTAATCCTGTAGTAGTCCACAAGACTGCTTGCATGATTAAGGGCTATACAGTTGGATGATGATCATGCTTTAGATAATCTGGACGTTAGTTAATGGTGCTTTGAGGCTAATTTGAAGAATTTTCATTCAACCAGATTATGGCCTAGAAAGACATTACTAAGAGCTTTGTGTACATTATGTGGCAATATACACTATGCGGGTGTGAATTTTATTTCATAGTAACTGGCCCACGTAAGCACTTTTGGTATTCACTAAAAATTCCTTAGTGTGTGTTAACTTAGTGTTTTAGCACAGGAGAGAATTTTTAGTGTTCACCGGCAGATTGTATGCAGGCCAGTTAGTATGTAATATGTGGGGATGCTTTAAAATTCACACTTTTATTGTGTACATTGCTGCATCATACAGGCAAGTCCTAAATCCATTTTGTTTGGAACTAAACTTTGGAAAAATTGCAACATCCTACAAAGTAGGCCCCGCTTCTACAGTTAACAGCAAAACTTCCACTGACTTTCCAGAGTGCTGGATCAGGCCGTAAGTTATTTTTTCAATTTCAGTAAATGTTTCTTATAATGCCATAAATGACTTTCTAAGTACAACATTTTGTAGATCTTTCAATAAAAGTTTCATAGCTTCCACTATGTTGATGGCAAATGGTTTATCTTTTAAGGATGCACCTTGAAGATGTTCTTCTGTATGTAAATGTTAGGTTGTAAGATAACCTTATCTCTCCAGCAGATATTCTTTTCTGTACATTTTAAAATATTTATAAAACTCCAGACTAGATCGCCAAATTTAACTTGAAAAGGATGGTATTTCTGTCTCTTGCTATTGAAATTTATCCTACAATTAATTGTTGGGGAGGAGGTTGTTCTGTTTGTAAAGTTTGAGTGAGACCCAAGCAATTTTACATTTGGATTTTGCAAAATTTAAAATTCCTATAGCACTGTTGTACATATGACTGGGGATATCATTGCTTAAAGGCATCATTAGTTTCTGATATTAGTAAAGATTTGGAATGATAATTTGCACCTGGTAAATCTGAGCACAAAAAGTTTGCTTACTGCTTATTATTGCCATAATGCTTAAAATATATTTTCTCCTTGTAGCAAATATTGGTAAGTAGGCATTTTTACTTTTCTGTATGGAAAGAGAATGCATGCATCATTACTGGTAGACACCTTTATCAATACGGAGTTTTTTAAGATGATGAACATTCTCTACCACCTGTTATCTAAAACAGTTTGAAGCCTTTGTAAAAATTATAAACCAGAGCACTCCCTCATGCTATTTGAAACAAAAATTTCAGATTACACCTGTTCCTTGTTGTGATTATATTTTTAGATGGAAAGGACCATTTATGCATGTTCAAGAAAGCAGCTTGGAAATAGAACATGTATCCTGAAGGGTTATGTAGTTTGTGATACTCCATCAGTAACAATGGATAAAAGCTTTCACTGGGGTGTTTATAGTTTTCATATTGCTTCTGGGCAGTTAGTTTTTGGATTACCAGGGTGGCCATTCACAGCTGATTATGTAGAAAAGACTGTCCTCTACAATCTACCCCAGTGGTTCTCAAACTGTGGGTCAGGAGCCAATTTTTAATGGAGTTACCAGGGCTGGTGTTAGACTTTGAGGCCTAGGGCCAAAGCTCAAGCCTGAGCCCTGCCACCCGGGGCTGAAGCCCTCAGTGGCAGGGGGTCAGGTTACAGGCCCCTTCTTGGGGCTAAAGCCTGAGGACTTTGGTTTGGTTCTCCCTTGCCTTCTCCCGGGCCCTCCTGGGGTCAAGTAGTAATATTTGTTATCAGAAGGGGGAGTAGGGTTGCCAGGTGTCCAGCATTGACCTGGACAGTCTGGTATTTTCACCTCCTGTCCAGTAAAAAAATTTTAGAAAATACCAGACACCTAAAATGTCCGGTATTTTCTGGTTTTTTTTCCCGGCCAAGAGGCAAAAATACAGGGTGCTTACCTGGTTTTGCAGAGGAGCTGTCTGGCCCGGAGCAGGCAGGCAGCTGGCAGGTTTTTTTTTTGTTTGTTTGTTTTTTGCTTAATAACTCTCGGGGTCCTTTTTTTTTTTTCTCTCAACAACTTTGGTCTCCCCTCCCCTTTTTTTTTCCTCAACAGAATTTTTTCCTTGGTGGTTTTTTTTGGGGGGAGGAGGGGTATTTTTGGTTAAATCATGTGGCAACCCTAAGGGAGAGACAGTGAAGTGTAGTTTGTAAACCCCTTATCTATCCTATTGCAAACATCTTTGGTCTCCCCATTTATTTATAGTCATCTGATTGCTAACAGAGAGAGAGAAGCAGCTACTTAGCCTGCCTGCAGCTTAAAAATATATTTATACAAGAAAGTTCAACTCTGTGGAGACATCTTATTTTTTGGGTGGCTTTGCATATTCTCATGGAAGGGTACTGCACAACCTTGTGGTATGTTGAGAGAGAACCATTTTCTAGCACTGTCAGCTAGAATGCTCCCATGCTTGTCATCTCCTCGGCATCACACTCCCCTGAGAGAAAGGCTGAATGGGGGCATAGAACACCCTCATCACTTTAGAACCTTCCAACTGGATGCCATATGAAGATATGAATCTCTTTGGTTTCTTTAGAGCCAGAGCTGCTTTCTTTTTAGGTAGATAGTCTTAGCTATTTGTTTAAACTGTTAGTGATTTTTTTTTTTCAGTTCCGAACTGAAAGTTTCAGAACTGAAGAAGCAGAAAAAAGGTTTTAAAGGTTTTAAAAGGTGCCCTACCTGCCTGTCTTCCAAGCAGCTGACAACCACCTATGATGCCTCAGGTGCTTTGGACAAGGATGTTCACATTCTGGTTGTTTGATCTGATGACCTCGTCTCCTAAGGCTCATCAGGATAAAGAGACTCCCTGCAGCTCCTTCTCTTGGAGTAAGCCCTGAAGGTCAGACCCTGTGGTTCCAAGTAACCCTCCATTCTTCTTTGAGGAGTCCCTGTGGGTGCTCCACTGAAGATGCTGGGCTTGCCCTAGCGCTGCAGATTATCACATGCCTCCGCCTTATAGGTCATGTGGCCGCCACCGCTTACGTGGTACGTCACACCAGGCTCCACTTTCGCAGCCTTCAACACTGGCTCGCCCAAGTGTACAACCATACCAAGCACGAATTGCACAGAACAGTGACTCCTCCACAGTCCATTCTCACATCACTCATATGGTGGATGAACCCCAGAAATCTCCTTACCAGTATACCTTTTCAACAACAGCAACCGTCGTACCACATAACTACCTACGCTTCCCTTCTAGGATGGGGCGCACACATGGGCACAATGTCAGTACAAGGCCAATGGTCACCTTCAGAGGCACGTCTCCATATAAATCTTCTCGAGTTCCGGGTAATACACAATGCCTGCAAACACTTTCAAGATCAGATCCATGGCACTATGGTGAGGATTCTCACAGACAAAGTAGCTGCTATGTACTACGTGAACCATCAGGGAGGGGCTCGATCACATTCCCTATGCAGAGGGGCAGTCCAGTTCTGGAAGTGGTGCATTCGCCACGCAATAACACCTTCGGCATCTTACCTGGAGCTACAAATGCGACAGCAGATTTCTTCAGCAGACATTTTGCCCAGGAACACGAGTTGGAACTTCATGACGGAGTCCTCTACCTCCTCTTTCACTGCTGGGGTACTCCCGCAATAGATCTGTTCGCAACTCACTGCAACAAGAAATGCAGAAAGTATTGTTCCAGAGCAGGTATGGGTCTGGCCTCCCTCGGCGATGCCTTCTTGATCAGCTGGACCAGTCCTCTCCTATATGCTTTTCCACCAACCTGTCTAATTCCCAGAGTCATACAGAAGGCGAAATAGGACAAGACCCAAATCACCTTCATAGTTCCAGCATGGGCACATCAACATTGGTTTCCCTTCCTTCAACACATGTCGCCTCTGCCACCATTCCCCCTCCCAGCCTTCCCAAATCTTCTCAGTCAGAACAAGGGGTT